ATGCAAATAAAACAATTTTGAAACATCAAAGAATATGTAAAATGTGTACTGCAAATATTTGTGCACATTAAATTAAATCAATAAATTACATGCATTCATTTCTTATTGGAAAATTTGACTTAGAATTTATAGAAAATAAATTTCTAATTACCTCCCTTTATTTACATGAAGTATTAAATTTGGTAATATTTTTATAAATAATGCTTATTTGAAATTTCAATATTGACAAATCTTAATTTTAGCATCATATTTATGAAATAAAACCATGAAAAAGATTGTGTTACAGGATCTTTAAATGATACACTATTTAATCTTTAGGAAGAGTAAAATTCTAGAAGATCTAAAAATAAAACATAGGATAAAAACACTTTCTTTGTAAGTTAAAGCACATAGTATATCTTGATATGACAAAGTTAAAAAGAAGGGATACATATTTCTGTAGTTTGAAATGGATATAGATTTATATCAAAATGATTATAGTTATGAAGAATACAAGTCTCTAGGAAAAAGTACATTTTCATTAAGCATCATTACGATGTGCTTAGGTATTACGTTCGTGGTAAAATGATATTATCAAATTGCATCATATTTCCTAATTGGCATTGCAATGGCAAATCGACAGTGACAACAAACATTGTATTCTAGAAAAATTGATATGATTGATTTAAGTAAGTAAATTAGTTGTCATTTGAAAAGCAGTTTATTCGTACTTACGATAAGTCTTATCATTCGCCATTGATTTAACTATTCTTTTAATGCCTTATGTCATTCAAGATTTGTATAATACAACCATGTCATCGGTTAGACGTGCCTTTTACTGCAACAATATAATTTCCTTTCCCTTTTTAATGTACAGGCATGATCAGCCAAAGTCGACAACTTTCTAAATTGACTGTTTACAATTATTGTGACAGAACAAATATTATGTTAGAGAATAATGCTTTCATAAGGTTATTGGACTGACAAAACAAAAGTCCTTTGTTTATTTATCCTAAAAATATTTTGTTGTATCAATAAACATAGAATAACATGTTTAAGAACAATTAACGTCATTAACTCAATAAGTATAAATAAAATTATTACCTACAATGATTATGAACTTTTGTAGTTTGACTCGATATTGCTACATTTGTCTGCTTCTATTAGGTCATTGTATTATTATTATGATGATGCACAAACGTGCAGCCTATAAGGTGAGATTGATTGATTGGTTTCCCTTATGTTTCTTAAACAAACTAAATGAAACCGAGTCTGCAGTTTCTGTCTGTTATTAGAATGATGCATTGGTGAAATTTTTAGTATCGTTTTGTCTTACTCTTTCTTTAATATTTGATGATAGTAAGTAAAGTTTGAAAATATGATAAACAAGATCATCAAGGAAAAGCAGCGTCCAATGAACGCACCTCATTTCGTAACTTAAATGTAAGCACGCAAAAAATAATCATTTGATCGATAAAAACATCAATTTATTAAACCATTAGACGGTGCCATGCTAGTTAAACTTCACCATTATTCATTTGCACGGAGTCGGTGTATGTTTAGATCATGCTTTTTAACTATCCATAACATGTAGAAGTTGTAGACTTATCTCTTCCATAATTACACATACAAATTGACAAACATTTAACATTTTACACATGTAAACTTTGTACGGTATTGACATTTTGAGGGTATTAACATACGATAAAACATTTGTAAATAACAACATTATAAAATGTAATCAAAAAATAAAAACACTTACTGAAACAATTTTTAAATTTAATTTTAAATTTACTCACTATCAGCGATTGCGATTGTTGATGACGCCGGTGAGCGACACCGACTCATATGGAATGTTTTTTAGGCCAATGGTTTGAGCTGTTATTATTAGCAGTTAATGTCATGTTGTGTTATTTAGTTTTATTTTGATTCGTAAAATTCAAGTAAACAAATACGTTGTTATATTTATAAGGAATTGCAGGCTCAGTTTATCAGCTTGACCCTAATACTAACAGCCGGATTCCTATTTATCGTTGCGGTCTATATTGATGTTTTCATTTTTTTATTGAACTCAGATTAAGGTCCTTTTATTAAACATATTTCACTGTTTAATCATTTTTTGTTAATTATACATTGTTTATTGCTTCGTTCTCTTTACTGTTATGCCAATCTTTTTCATCAGCTGTCTAAGGTAATATGTGAGAATGAGGTCAGGGGTCAGAGAGAGGCTTTGTTTACATTTGAAACGAAACGATACATTTGTAAGTTATATATGTTTTTAAATTTTCCTACTAGAAGAACGTTCACATTCAAATGAGTATCAGGATTGGTAATTAAACGATTGAAAACGATTCTCCTATTGATTTTATCCATATAACGTGTACCAGTATCCGGAAATAGAAAGCTATCCGGTTTTCTGCAATGCAATGCTACTGCTGTCACATGGCCATCTTAATTTTTATGAATACTTATTACATATTATACATACTATTTTCGTTGTTTAAGTATAAAAATTATAGTTATTGGCAGTGTGCTTTACAGGCTATAAAATAACTTTCTTATTACATTTCTTTTTAATAAATAGAATCATGAGAAACTTGACCAGTTGTAAGTTCATAAAAAGCATGACTATAGAGGCCCTGAGGAGTGAATATTGATAGCTTTTTTTTTGACTGACTTTATTTACCTTTAAGGCACATTATGCGTTAGAAATGCAACCTTTATTATTTTTTGAGAATTTTGAATTTTTGGTGTATTGTTACAAGATCCACAAAAAATACTTATTTGCCATATAAGTGAACTATCTTTGCATCTTTTGATTTGCTGGCAGATAGTATAATTATAATGAATTAGTATTTTGTATGGAAGTCAAAATACTATTTGTTTACATTTTGCTACCTTTACGACAAATTACTGCACATTCAGGACTACTTTCTTCAGCTGTTAAATATCTTACATGTTCTAAATCCATTATTAAAACATTATTAAACATGTGTTTACATTTCTAAAGGATATGATAAAAAAAAAGATTTCTGAGGCATAATGTGCCTTTAAACTGGATTTTCAAGTTGGCTAAGTTAGTACATACCTACGAGGGTTGATCAAAAAGTAATAGGACTGAAAGTCTTCATATTTCATCAAATTAAGAATATTTTCATATGCATAGGGATCGTTAAATGTTTACACAATTTATGCATAAGTTTATTAATTTATTGCGATGAACGCGCGTTTCCTGAGATATTAAATAACCACGGTAGCAGCACATAAAAATACTATGATGTACTTCTAATTTATTCATAATTTATCCTTTGTTTGTCCATATTTTCCAACAGCACATTTATTTATATTAAAGTGACATTATATTTAAATTTGACGTCATTCTGGCATGAGATGACATAATTATTTAGTTTTGAACAGCTGTGGTCATGGCGTTCAATGTAGAATTACGGCACTCGATAACAAACAGAAATTGGTGCGATCGTCAACAAATTGGCAATATTCTTTCAGATACATACAAAATGATAAAATTAAGACAGTAAAAATGATCTTGTCATGAAAACACTTGTTTTCAGCTAGTGCAATCAATTTAAAGGTAGGCAGGGCACAAGGTAGAGAGAATGGGCAGGGTAATCACTAAAATCATAGTAACCGATTAGGAACTGAAAGAAAACAAATAGAATAGGCCCTTAAAGTCAAAGGGTAAAGGGGATGGAGACCCGCGAAACCATTCGGTAATATGTTGGTTCCCATACTTCAAAGTGGGACTTATATGTACACGGCAAAGCTGGGCCACATTTGAATTTATCGAAAGAATATGTAAATGGAGTAAAAAGGCGATAATCTTGATGTTTACTTTGGCTGTTGTGTTGGTTATATTACCGTTGAAGTTTAGAATTGACCGTCATCGAATTAAATCTTCTGTGTCCAGGTCCTGTGAACGTTGCCTTTGCCTTGTTCATCTTTATTCTTGTTTTTTAAAGGATTATGTGAAAATATTGGAAATAGAATAAAATACATGGTGATGTTGGCGGTAGGTATGCGAATTTTTCCGGCGAACATTTTTATCTGGTGTATTATTATAGACTTTTAAATATGATTTCTTTTCAAAACAGCTTATATTAAGTCTTTTTATATATATGATCAGTTCATGTGCAAGGATTGACAAATATACATTTTAAAGGTATTTTGATTTTAAAGGTGTTTTAAGCTCTACACCCCAAGTTTTTGTGTTTTTAAGAAGGGTTTTATCCGTTTACCAATGATTGTATGCATGCGCCACTCACTTTACAGCAATTATTACTATATCAATTCATACAAGCATTAATTATTATTTATACATTGGCAGTATTTCCTTTTGAAATTCCAATCAATAATTTTTGTATAAGATATATAGCTTTATACACTTTAACATAATTGTACCTTACAAAGAAGAAAATATTGACAGTTCTAATGTATAATGCGCCAAACAACAGTCATTAGATTTTAAATTATCGTCGAGATGATACAAAATAATGTTTTTCAAAATATATATAAAATACATTTAAATTTGTATAAATTCATTTGGTAATATGTTCTATAAAGAAACAACAAAATCACTTTATTTGAAGATTTCAATTTAATCCTGATAGATATTTACGTAAATTGCTTATATCTATGGAATTTACCATGCTAGTAAAACATCAAAGTACATCAATATGTCTGTTTTCTTTGAACTTCAATAATTATTTTTTAAAAAAATATTTATTGTACTATATAGTTTGATGATACGATGATTTATTTGTTTACAATTAGTTTGCCCGAGCAGCAATGAACAATTGTCCTCACTTCATTTGGATAAATAAATCTATAAAAATTCCAAGATCAATTGTTTTTTCTCTTTGTGATGTTTACCTTTGATTTCTAATACATTATGTTGTAATACAATGATCAAAACAATCGCATGATGTCGCAAAAGCAATTAAATCTATCAGTTAATGTATAAAAGCAAAAAGCTTTGTATACCTCTTGTCATTGATTTGAAAAAGCGAAAACAAGAAAGACGTGAGAATTGAAGAAAAAGGGCACCGTTTTACATGGTTGTGCTGTTTCCTGAAATTCAAGTAAGTTGTTGGTTGTTAAATGACATTTTTTTAAGTTTTAAGTAAAGCTTATTTTCAAATTACCATTGCAGTTGAACTAAAGTAAAATTGTTAATAATTAAACATCAGACATAACAGTCAACAAACCACGTAAAGGTTTACATATATTTATATTATACTAGCAGATAATATAATATTCTAAAATAAAAAGCAAACATATTCAAAATTAAAACATCAATATCTAATATCTAAGAAGTATATTAACATTTTTATGAAGAATTATTTCCTAAGAATATCCTTATGATACATTTCTATTGTTTTTATGACTATTTGAAATAATTACGAAAACTTTGCCCATTGTAGGCCAAAAAAACTTTTAATTATGTTTAGGATGTGGACCGAACATCGTTTTACCTCCAGTCTATGGGCTAGCTCAATTCATGTTTTAATTTTATTTTTGCCATTTTGGGAGTTCTTTATGGTTCCATTTGTGTCTATGTTTTTATTTTTTGTTGTTGTTGTTTTTTTTTTGTTTGCTGTTTTTTAGTTTTACAGTTATTTTTTAATCCATTTTATTTCATATTCTTTTAATAACATAATCATTAAGCCTTCTTTAACTGAACGTGATTTGCATGGCCAGAATACACATCCGTGCAGCTTGGCTTTGTGAAGCTCATGGTTTGTTCCTCCTTGAATGAACTATAACAGATTCAAAGTAGTGCAAATTTAGCAAAAGAAAAATTAATACATTTCAGACGGATAAAACTTGACATGTTCTCTCTTCTGGTCATGTTAACTAAGAATAAATTATTATGTTTGAGTTGCTGAGTATTAGTCGGTATTGTTTGGCAATTGATTGATATGTGATATATAGCGTGTACATGTATGATATAACTGGTTCTTTGTGTGTCCTTTGCAAAACAGGAGGGAACATTTCATTTTTTATTTAAAAAACATTTGTTGTTTTTTTTTCAACGCATTGCAGTGTTATAATGTTCATGCAGTGTTTAGAATCTTAATATAAATAAATAAAAACAAATATAAAAGAATTTTAAAATAACCGTAGTTTTGTAATTTGGTAAATTGATTTCCAAATCTGTTTCAAATAAGAAATTCTTTGCTTACATGACAGAAACATGTAGAAATTTTAACATTTAAATCTAAATCATAACAATTCAATGTAACATTCAAACAATTCACATTGTGCCTAAGAATTCTGCAACATTGAACTTTTATAACTACATTTTTTGTTTGTTTTTTATTGTTGTTTTTTTTTCTTTTTCAAACCGAAAGAAAATTGAAAGAGAGCGTTAAAATGGAGAAGTTTTGGCATATTGTTTGTAAAGCCAAATTTAATTTACTTTTTAAAGGACACGGGGCTAAATTTCCAGATTCATTATTGTGGTTATGTTTTTAAAGGAAGTCCATAAGAAAGTTCAAAGATGCAAACTAAGATAAGATTGAAATATTGTAATAAACGATTTGATAAAATCGCAATTCTAAATGTCCTTTTTATCATTTCTTCAGTATTGAGTAACTTTTTTTACAAACAAATCTTTCTTTGTATAAATATATATCCTCAAGTTCACAGACTTCTTGAAGAGTGCGGTCTTCTGTGTTTAAAACAATCATTCTTTTTTAAATTTCTGCTATTTAACAAAGATAGCTTTGATACCACAAGTTTGTTCTTTTCAATACTATTTTTTATGACATGCCGAACTGGTTTTGACGAGACAAAGTTAATTGGGTACCTGCAAGTTGATACATACCTGTGTTATTGTATGTAGTTTTGTCCACTTTATCACTGTATCTCTTGAAATTATATGACTACTTGATGCATTTATACCAGAATGTTTTTCAGCTATATCGACATGTCCAATAAGATATGTGTACGGCATTCCGTAAGAACAGATGTTGACAAAGCCTTATCATGTCGCGAGGAGGCAATCCTTTTTCTACTCAAGACCAGATCCGTTATTATAATATCGATATGCCATAAAGGATAGAATTGCGGTGGAAAAACTTCTAGTTTAAAACTGGAACATTGTTTCATCAAGTAGTCATATATTTTTACTAGTCATATATTGTTACATGAAACCGTGATAACACGGACAATGCTAAATACAAAAGCACAGGTATGTATCAACTTTCAGGTGCCAAATTAACGTTTGCATAGTTATTCTATCTAAAGGTTAAACGAGTTTTCTATTGGACATATTGACTGGTGCACAGCTGTCTAGAAGAAACAACGATGAACCTGAGTAACACGACTGAAACTTTTCTTGCTGATGATGAAGGGTTTTATGCAGATGTTGATCGAGAAGCAAACACCACTAATCTGACAAGTACTGTTCTGGTATTTTATACTCGTTACAATTGGGACGTGCTTAGAGCTTTCTTAGAGGAACTACGTTTTAAAGTTGGATATTTTCTCTGGCAACGCTTAAGTATTGTATTTGCAATTATCGGTGTCTTTGGGAATGGTTTTATCATTGCTGTTCTCGCGAAAGGAAACACACACTTCTGTTCAACTTCTTTATTTATCCTGTCACTTGCCCTTGCTGATTTGTTTGTTACTGGATATTTTATACACGGGTTTTTTAATGCCAACGGTTACGCTTTGGGCTCGTACAACATCATTGATTGTAAATTAATAACTTTCTTGTTAGCGCTCGGTAATTGGGCTTCCCCTTTGACACTTACTTTAATATCTATAGAAAGAGTATGTAGCGTTGTAGTACCGCACAAAGTCAAAAATATGTTTACAAGAAAAGTTGCGATATTTCTCGTACTTGCAGTCTGGACAATATCTTTAGCAAACACTTTAATGCAAGACTACATCCTCAAAAATGTGATCACACCGTCAGGAGCACCTGTATGTGCCATTGATCGAGAAGAAAACCCTGTCATATATAGGATTTATGGAACTACCAGTGTTATCATAAAGTATGGTAGTTGGTTAGTTAATGTCATTTGCATGATTATAATTATACGATCTTTACTTCAAAACAGCGTTGTGAGAAAGGGTAAATCTGTAAAAACACCAGTAAAGTCAGTTACGTTAAGTTTGCTTACGGTTAATATCATTTACTTCTTATTCACGACACCTGTGGTTATGTATGACAGTTATATTTTGTTGTCAGTCCCCGAATTGAAGAGCATCTTTCACTTCTACAACCACTTCATTGAAAGTACTATTCTGAAATTCTTCTCTCATACCAACAACGTTTTAAATTTTTTCATTTATTTTCTGATCGGTACAAAATTTAGGCAAGAGAGTAAAGATTTTTTGCTTTCTTTTAAAGTATTTAGAATGTGTCATCATAAAATAACATTAACAAAATAGATTATGAAAACAAGATAAACACGGAAGGGCGGGGTTCAATGAACATAGCCTCCACATGACCAAGCAGCATAGGACATATAGGACAAGTGGCAAGGGGCCTTGCAGGACACTAAATAAAACAGTCGATAATTTGTGAAGCAATGTTATGCAGTATTACGCCAAATGCACTCACTAGGCTTCACTTTGTTGCCCTGATCCTTTGTTGCTGGGTTCTAGGATTGAAGAGCTTCGCTCTGTAAACAAGAAACGTACTTAACCATTGATCGTATTGAATTTTATGTCGTGGATTTGTTTAATTCTTTCGTTGTATTTATTATTGTATTATATGTATTTTATAAGGGACATATTTTTTGGACACCTTTTTTCTGTACAAATTTGTTGTTTCTTTTTCAATAAAGTTTTAATAATAATGTATGTACTTTAAGAAAACCATAGATAATGAGACTGTTAAATCATAGTTGAAAGACATTTTTCTCGACTGAATTTTGCCATAAAGTGTGAATTTTACCGTTAAGTGTTTACCAGTGAAATAACTACGTGAAATGTTTGCTTTTTGTTTGGAGCTTTCGACGTAATTTGAATAGAAGGAAACGTTTTCGGAGACAACCAAAAAATATGCTACTGAAATTGACACCACAGAAACAGTAATGAAAATCTTATCTTTGTTTTTCGTTTGTAATGATTGGGTGCGCGGACGGTAACTTACACTAAACAGGACTTTCCTTGAACAGGCTCAATTAAACCGAGTCTGCAACATTTTCAATTTTGTTGTTTTGAACGTTCTTTAGAAATTATGTTTTTCCCTATTTTAGTTTTGTGTTTATGTACAACAAACAGTATACTCATAATATATAAAATATAACAATTGGTGTTTCTAATTGTTATATTTCTAGAAGAGTAAAATATCATTTAAATAGATCGATATAACTGTGCGATTACATAATCTCTTTTAGTCCTACTTGGTGACATTCCAGTTTTTTTGTTTGACTGGATGTTGCCTGTGACTGCCTTTAGTTTACGTTGTGTTCTGTTGTTTGTGTTTGTACTCATATTATTGCAGACAATAATTGCATTTCACATAAAACTTTTGTCTATCAGATGCTGCGGAGGATCCTTATCAAATGGTTTCCATTATAGAGTGGTTTTCTTTAGTAATGTTCAGTGATATTTAAAAGCCTATTTAGACTTTCTTTTTATGGAAAGTGAGAGAGGTATTTAGAGCATAACATTGAACGAAAGTGTCGCTTAAGTTATAGGTTGTTCTAATTTGAAGAATGTTGAGCACATTTATATGTACGCTTTAAATAGTGTTGTTTTCTGTGCATATATAAATCATATTTTTTCACAGTTTACCTTTTTATTATACTCTTTATCATATGGGCACTGGTTTAAAACGCTTCTGTTTGACCTGTCTGTATGTTTGCATTCATACATACATTTCTTACCACCATAATATTTGCAAACCAATGGTCTCAAAACACTTCGTGTTGGCGTACTGAAATATGATATTAGCCCTTTCACAATTCTAAAATTAAATAAGAACATTATTTATGATTCATGTGGTGTGTTGTTTATAACATTTGTTTTGACATCTTGAAACAATTGTTAGTTTGAATTTGTTTTTATTAATTACTTATATCTTAAAATCCTGTATTGAATTATTATTGCATATTGCATTGTTTGTTGGTTATTTAAACAATTTAAAAAAATAAATAAAAAAAAAAACAACAAAAAAACAAAAACAAAAACCGTTGTCATTTGTGATTAAAAACGTTCCGCTTTAACTTTATTCATTAATTTATCTTTACATTAAATGTTTGTCTGCTATTGTATATTAAAATGTTTATTCATGTTTCAAATATAAATATAAAATTAAGTAAACATCGTTTATAAATATTCTAGCGCTCTTAGATCTATTTTCATATATCTTTAATAATGGATTTAATATAAACTTATGTAAATCGTATTTGAATTTGACAATTCTATTTCGTAAGAAATCAAAGATATTCTTAAACATATTGTTTGGTTTAGATGTTTATACATATTTTGAGGTATAGACAACAAAATAAAATTTTCAACCTAATAGAAATTGTCTTTTAATTATCCTCCTTGTTGGCGGTGCGCTATTGCTAGGTTGTGTTGATGAATGTGTTCACTGAGTGCCGAACTTTCTTGTTGATCTTTATTTGATATTTTCTTACATCACGTAGATAAATTATTTAATAATAAAACGCCACCAGAAATTGTCTTTTAATCATCCCCCTTGTTGGCGGTGCGCTATTACTTTAAGATAATAGTTTTGAGGGATGCGTTCATTGAATGCCGACATTTCTTGTTTATCTTTATTTCATATTTTTTCATAAGAAAAACCTATTAACACGAGTTTAAATTATTAAATTATAAAACGCTATAGCCTAACACTAAATTAACATTAAATAAACGCTCTTTACTTTATTGTTGATATGTCTTTCTGGCCATTCGGAATAACTGATTCCAAAACGTTACATTGCTGAAAATCAAGAAGCGCTCACCGAGGCTAGGGGGGGGGGGGGGGGGGCGTGATGGATATTGCAAGTTTTCTTTAGACTAAATAAAACCGACTTTGCAATTTTTATGTCATTTTGTTGTTTTTATGCTTCCGAGGGATATCTTTATCCCAGATATTTTCTCTGGATTGTCAACGATATGAACAATGTTTCTATGTCAACTATGCGACAAAAATTCATATGTCAACAATGCGATCTTTTCTGGATTTGTCAACGATGTGGCCAGTGTTCCTATGTCAAATTAAAGATGGAATAAATACCCTTTGTCAACGTTGTGACTATATGTACAAACATCTTGAAAGGGTATAAGCTATATCTGATGAAAAATTTTGTACAGATTTAAAAGAGGTAAATACATATTGATTTTATATCCTAACGGTAATATCTCGAAAAAGTTGTTACATAGAATGCCCCTGTTATTTAACATACATAAATATTGTACGTAAATCAGAATAAAATGTTCCGGAACAAAATATTTACCTACTATTTTAGTTGGTTTAGCGATTATAAAACACATGTTCCACTCGCTTTCATTAATATATATGGACCTATTTCTTTTGTTTTATGTTTTTATATAAAATATAGCTTTATACACTTTAATAGGATTGTTTTTTTCCAAATTTGAACTTTCCTTCTATGAACCTATGTCAAAGAACCAATTCCCTTTGTCAACGTTGTGACTATTTCTACTAATACCTTTAATAGGATTGTTTTTCTCTCCTCCAAATTTGAACTTTCACAACTTTCTTTCTATGATCATAAGTATCTCAAAACATTCTTGGAAACCAAACATTCCATTCTAACACATACAGTACATGAATATTTTCATTCTCATAGGCAAGCACAATGAACAATATTGTAGTATAAATAACCCATTGTTTCTTTTCAATTGTATTAGATCGTAAAACAAAACAATTTCTTATTGTTTGATGTTAAGTTTTATTTTATCTGCACTTAATATACATCACGTTGTCTCAGCATAATTGGTGAAATTATTGCTTAGACCAAAATAAGTACTTTTCCTTATCCCCATAAATGTAAGAAATATATTGCTTATCTTTTTTATGATAAACAATATCCATTTTTCGCAAATACATCAAACACTGCTCTTTAATTAGAAAAAGTCATAAAATAGGGACATCATATTTAAACACTTCAAAATAGAGAATATAATAATGATTTATTTTATCTTTATCATTCATATCGTCTTTTTAATTGTCTTTGAGATGATGTTGATTAACATTGCATTGTACAAAAATCTGGAAACAAAAGGTGAGATGGTTCCGACGGATTCCTCGGAAGTGAAGTACGGGGCAAATTAATACAGCTGCCACACAGCACTTGACACCTGCTGTTGTGAAGTATAAAAATCTGGAAACAAAATGATCCTTCGGAAGCATAATCACAACAAAATTACAAGAGAATTGGAGACTCGGTTTGATTAAGTCTGTACATGAGAGATAATGAATATGTGCAACATCCCTCACGCCCCCTTGCACCGGCTTGAGCGGTACTCATTTCTCAACACTTAATAGTGCTGGCATCAATGAATATATAATACTCAGGTGAATTAAACACTAAACATGAGAATAAAGATCAGAAAAGTGTAGGTCAACAAATATTTTAAGTTAAATCGGTGTCTTATACTTTGGATGTAATTGATTATTTTATACTGATCCCGTAAACACTTATTTAGACATTAACCAATATATTCTTTATTTCGAAGTCTAATGTCTTTGTTTTTTCAAGGCTAATGTACAAATAAGAATTCAGTGCAGAATAAAAATGTCATGCCATGCAATCATGCATGTTTTGATGTGATATTGCACAAAAAATAGAGAAAATAAGAATCCTTAAAGGAAGCCCAACACGGCAAAACGGTAACTTTTGTTTATGCCATTGAGTGGAGGCTTTTAAACATTGCCTCATATTGTCAATAAGAAATGTATTTCTGATATCTGAAAATCATAAGCGAACCATTTGTAGTGAGTGTATGTTGCATTTTTAGTACAAACAACATTTTTGCCTTTTTAGTGGGTCCAGTATTCCAACTGAAATAATGTTTAATCAACATTACGATATGTTGCTGCTTCTCAAAATAGACAGAAATAAAAAATCCACAAAGAAAAACAACAAAGTTGAAAATGAATCAAGCTCGGATTGATTGAGTATATTCATTGACGGTATTTGAAAGTGCAAGTTACCGCCCAAGATCCCTAGGACAGGCTTAAATAGAATTCAATATTTAACCTGAACTGTTCAATCCATCCACAGAATAAGTTTGTACAGCGGTTATCATGGATGGATAATGAAAAAGTACATGTGAGTATCATTGCCGAGTTACTCTTACTATGTATAAATGCGAAAAAGTCAGATTTTGTATCGAGAAAAGTACCATAAAGAACACATAGCAACAATTTATTTAATAAACACGCGTAGGTGATAGTCATTGACTATGAGTCTGATTCTATTTTAGATAAGGAAAAAAAACAAGTGTATATGGTTTAAGCATACGTAGTAAAAATCCAAAAGTAGCTTTATAACAAAACTGTTTTTTGTTAACAAAATAAATAATTTGGAAATTATTACCCGTCAATTTTGTATCAAATCGCTACATGATTCAATTAATTTTAGAAAACATTGTCCTTTAAACGTGTTTTATTATTTTGATAAGAAATACACATTTTGATTTTGTTGAAATTATCTCTTTTATTACCGCGTTTTAGAATGTAAAAGTCAATCCGTCGACGTGTCTAAAAACAGCATGCCTCCTGATTCAACCATTTTGAAAATGTATTAAAAAGTTATTTTTTTCAAGTGAATACATTTTTATTTAAACAGCATTTATATTCCACGTAAACTATCAAAATAAGGTCAAATGTGCAAAAGTAGCCCCTGCTATCTTAGTCACGCAGTAGAAATTTGGTGATAAATATAGTAAGACCAGGCATCCAGCTTATAAAGGAAAGGAAACAACTTCCATACAATGCTAAATACTGCATTTATAATGACATTTAGTCTATTTATTTACACATAAACGTATCTGTAAAAATAATTTTGCATGTATATGGGAATAAGATGTATATTACTACTTTAAACTTAACATTAAAGTTACATTTAATAAATTTCATAAAAAACTAAATAGCGAAATTTCATTAATAAATTGGGTTTTATATCGACCCCAGGTCTTATTTTGGTGTCCAGACAACCAAAATGAGTTTTATTAGCATAAAAATGGGTAACCTCATTGTGGCGAAATGGGAAGTACAATTTCTGTTTGCATGAGAAACACCGCCTTCGGATCATCCGTACATCAATATTAAATCAACAGACATGACTATAAGTGGCAGTCCTAATTTAACGGTATATTTCCGCATTGTAACGGATGTTTTCATACAAATTTAATCTTTTTACGAGATTATTACTTTTACTGAACCCCAGGTTTAGTGCACCGTGAAGCTTAAACGGTTAAAGTGTGTTTGCAAAAGAAAATATCACATTTGCTGTGTTCCGGATAGCAACTATAAAATTGTGACGTAGCGCATACACGAGCTCATTATAGTCTTCATTTGCATGTTAAAATTCGTATACGAACTTTAGTGGTACCGTGGGATTTCCCTTTTAAAATCCTAATTTATGAACAATATTTGATGAAATTTACAACAATACTATTAAACAGGTTAATGAAACTGTAGAATGTTTGAATTTTAGGCCGACGGCAAAATATTTTTACATATCTATTTAATGTATCTTTAAAGTACTTATCAAGATAAAAAATGTTTTGTCATATGGCATACGAATGCGCTTGAAATTACAAGTTCAATACATAAGTAATATAGTGATTACTTTCGCATTCATGCATTAGCGATAAGTGTACCACATTTTATTGCAAAAGCACTTCCTTTTGGGAAAGCACTCAACGTGACATAACAATGATTTCACTTAGCTTTTAC